AGTTCAATCTTCCTCTTGAAGATGATCCCTTGGTGATCGAAACACGTGTCGAGGTGTAAAAATAATGATTTGGTGTTGGGAAAAAACTCCAGTAATATTCATTACTACACTAAAGATTCCAAACAGTATATCACTATTATGATTTGGCCCGGTTGCAGGAGTTTTCGCCTTTGGGAAGTGCCTAGGTGGCTCATAGGTGTCCAACCACTGTCCTAAAGGTTTTCTGTTGTTATGGTGGATCCACTTTTCATCACATGAGACGATCCGATGCAGAAAAGAATATTTTTGGTTGCGCAAAAGCAAAGAAAAACGGACTTCGAAAAGTGACAATTTCTATCGATCGTTCGATATGTGGGGCACCTTTACAATAAGTTTTGAATAGCCAAAAACCACGTGAGAGCTGACGCCCAGTTCTTCTGCCATTCCACGCACCGTTAGTTTGTGATGGGTCAGTCTCCACCAGGATTCTAAAATCCTCGTCCAGGATTACTGTAGGTCGACCACTTTGGTGTTCATCTTTGATGCTGAAATCTCCGGAATGAAATTTCGCAAACCAACGTCGAACAGTGCGTTCAATAATACTATCATTGCAAAATGCCTGGTTAATTTTTTGGTCTGTTTTGGCAGCAATTCGGATGAATTTGAATTCAATAATTGAGATATGGAGCTACAAAAACACACGACATCAAAAAGGATAAAACGTTTGGAGCGATATTATAAATACATTAAATATGTACAGTCCAATACAGTCCACGAATCGTATGAGTTGAGATTGAGACAATAGGATTACTTACTTTCTGGAAAGTGTCCATAACAGGATCAGCATCATTTCTATCTGAGTCGCTTGTTTCTTCAGAAAACTTTTTATTCGAGTATAAACTAGGGTTTATATCTCCAACTAATCCATCTGATTGATTATCTATAATGTCATATCTAGAGGGAAAAACAAAATCAGGGTCATTTCTATCTGAGTCGCTTGTTTCTTCAGAAAACTTTTTATTCGAGTATAAACTAGGGTTTATATCCCCAACTAATCCATCTGATTGATTATCTATAATGTCATATCTAGAGGGAAAAACAAAATTTTGATTCGGTATTTTCATCGCAGCTACAACAGCGTCTTTGGCAGAACCTACCATGTTTTTTACATGAAACATAGGCTGTTGTTCATGTTCGAAAGCAGTTCTAGCGATATCTCCCAGATTTTCTAACGTTTTCGGCATGTTGATTCTTGCATTGGGATCAGTTAATAATCTGAAATATAGAAGATAAATTGTCTGAAAAGCATTGAGGAAAGTTTGTTTTGTATATTTGTACAAGAAAGTTCTTAGGAGTTAGTCATTTTATGGAAATCCATGAAGATTTCATGAAAGTAAACGCACAACTGCAATTTCTTAAAGTTGTTTCATTTTCAGTTGAATATTGTAAAAAAAATAATGCTACCAGGAGGGAGATACTTGTTTGTCACTGGAATGATACTCATTCAAAGCAATTAACTATTCAAAATCAAAATTTGAACATTAGGTACACACACAATAATTTTTTTTTACATTTTACATTTCTTTCTGTGTTCGGGATCCGATGAAATCGAGGAAGGCCATTTTTGAACGGCCCGCGATTTCCAGTTTGAGAACCGCTGACAACAACACGTTTTAAAAATCACTGTCCGAAAATTGAACGAATTGAGCGTCGAAGTTCTGCCTCAGTCACCATACTCTCCAGGTCTTTCGCCAACTGACTATCATATTTTCAACCACTTCGATAACTTTTTCACCGATTGAACCTACGTCAACTTAATCGAATCCTGATCGCGCAATTTTTATGCTGAAGGAAATAATCAACTTGTGTTACGATGGCTAAAATGCATTTGTTCAAATGACACTCATTTCTATTGAATTGAGATATTATAGACACATCGCCAAAATTCTTGGACCCCTTTATGTTTGTCTAAATGAGAAACTATCATTATAAGTCAAGTAGTGTACATTTAATTTGGTTCTGTAACCAAAGGAAATAGGCTGAATTCAATTTTAAATGAACAAGAAAAAAAATACAAACGAAATATAGTGCATAATAAAATGATTACCAGAATCTAAAATGTAGAAGAAAACAATTTTAGAGCGAAATCAAAAATGCATTAATATACGGTGTGTCCTCCCCTGTTCTGTAGTAAGGGCGTTAATGGTATCCATAGGGATGTTGTTCCATTCTTCTTGGGCGGATGATTAATTTTGTTCGAGATTGCTCATTTAACGAAATCCCACATGTGCTCAATGGGATTCAAGTCTGGTGAATTTGGGGTCCAGCATTGTCATCCATGAAAATCAAATTGTCTCCAATTTCATTTCGGAGAGGATAAATGTTGCCTGCAATAATGTTGTCTCCCTGACCCACTCCAAACTGTGTGTCGCCGACTATCATTAGCTAAAACAAATCTGGTTTCGTTCGAAAAAAGGAAATTTCGTCTCTGAGGTAAAAGCCAGTTTCTGTGTTCTTGTGCTCACTGTAGACGAGCGGCTATGTGTCTGGGAAGTAGCCTGGATACTCTTAATAGCCTCCTGGATTGCAAATTGGCTCTAGCAAGTCTCCGCCGTATTGCGGTACTAGAAATTAATCGACCAAACGTTGTTCTTAAATGAGTTCGGACTGCTGAGACTGGTACGATTCCGACATACATATCCTGTTATACTATAACAATTTTCAATTGAAGGTGATTCATTAGCAACGTCGCACTTGAAGTGACCAACGGATAATCCTCTTACGAACTCTGCAGAGGCGAACCAAAATAATATTTTTATTTATTTAAACACAAAGGTAATTACGTAAAAATTGTTATATTATGTGGCACTACTTGGTGTCAATGGTAAAACTGATTACATTTTCTTGTTATGCCTAATACAGATCTTCAAAATAACAGAAAAATTTAGAAAGTAATTATTATGTTCCTTTTATATAGAAAGAGGACTACAAAGCAAAGAAATGAATACCTATGTTATACTTATGAAGTTTCAGAATCCATTGACTCGTCCGAAGAGGAATCCCCATCACACTTAAATCTATCATTATTTGGTCGAAAACAGTGTCTACCATCCCGTCCAATCCCCACATTTTCTCCTCTTCCTTGATCACATGGGCTACATCATTAGCCCAATCTTCTTTCCGTATCCGTTCCCCTGCGAGTTCTAATAAACGTTGGACATCAGAAATTTNTCAAAGCAATTAACTATTCAAAATCAAAATTTGAACATTAGGTACACACACAATATTTTTCTACATTTTTACATTTTACATTTTTTTCTGTGCTCGGGATTCGACGAAATCGACGAAGGTCGTTTTTGATCGGCCCGCGACCCCCAATTTGAGAACCGCTGACGACAACACGTTTTAAAAATCACTGTCCGAAAATTAAACGAATTGAGCGTAGAAGTTCTGCCTCAGCCACCATACTCTCCAGATCTTTCTCCAACTGACTACCATGTTTTCAAGCACTACGATAACTTTTTCACCGATTGGAATTTCGCCGACTTCATCGAATCCTGATTGAACAATTTTTATGCTGACGGAAATGATTGACTTGTGTTACGATGACTAAAGTGCATTTGATCAAATGACGCTCATTTCTATTGAATTGAATAAGTATTTACTGAGATATTATAGACACATCGCCAAAATTTTTGGACCCCCTTATGTTTGTCTAAATGGGACACTATCATTATAGGTCAAGTAGTGTACATTTATTTTGGTTAAGCAACCAAAGGAAATTGGCTGAATTCAATTTTAACTGAACCAGAAAAAAAATACAAAAGAAATATAGTGCATAATAAAATGATTACCAGAATGTGAAACGTAGAAAAAAACCATTTTAGAGCGAAATCAAAAATGCATTAATATTCGGTGTGCCTCCCCTCTTCTGTAGTAAGGTTTCAACTCGCCTGTGCATGGAAATAATGAGGGCGTTAATGGTATCCATTGGAATGCTGTTCCATTCTTCTTGGGCCGCCAGTGTGAGTGCCGGGAGGGTGCTAGGAGGATTAATTTTGTTTGAGACTGCTCGTTTAACGAAATCCCACTTCTGCTCAATGGGATTCATGTCTGGTGAATTTACTGGCTACGGTAATCTTTAAATATTCTCAATCTCCCAGCATTGACATCCATGAAAATGAAATTGGCTCCATGCATTATGCAACGACCATGCATTATGCCTCCCCAAAACATTACTGATCCTCCTTGGTATGAAACGACGTCTCTAGCAACATATAGTCTTTCTTGTCATCCTGTCCCTCTCCAGACTCTGTGTCGCCGACTATCACCAACTAAACCAAATCTGGTTTCGTCCGAAAAAAAGGAAATTTCGCCACTGAGCTAAAAGCCAGTGGCTGTGTTCCTGTGCTCACTGTAGAGGAGCGGCTTTGTGTCTGGGAAGTAGCCTGGATACTCTTAATGGTTTCCTGGATTGCAAATTGGCTCTAGCAAGTCTTCGCCGTATTGTGGTACTGGAAATTAATCGACCAAACGTTGTTCTTAAATGAGACTGAGACTGGTTGGATTGCGACGTACATATTCTGTTATACTATAACAATTTTCAATTGAAGGTGATTCATTAGCAACGTCGTACTTGAAGTGACCAACGGATAATCCTCTTACCAACTCTGCAGAGGCGTACCAAAATAATATTTTTATTTATTTAAACACATAGGTAATTACGTAAAAATTGTTATAGTAGGTGGCGCTACCTGGTGTCAATGGTAAAACTGA